AAACTTAAATCTAGTAATATACAAAAATTAAAATTTAATAGGTAGTTTAAGAAATATTCATAATAATATTTTTTAATTTAGCAAGAAAATTCAAAACAATAATTGATATTAGGTGTGTACCATGTTTCAAAAATCGAAATTCCGGACTATTAATTGCAATCAAGTTGCTAGAGTACCTACTGATGAACTAGAAAGGACAAAGGGTATGCATTTTTCTAGAAGCTGATACTCTAAAATTAATTGGTTGTAAGAAATCTGGGCATATTAACAGCCAATAAATTAATTTGTAAATAAAACCTACATCATTTTATAAACTTATAGAAAAGTTAATGGTTCTAAACCAAGTGTCCAAGTTCTTTAGCAATAACAGGCAAGCTCTAATGTTGTCAGTTTAAATATTAAGAGGGTCGTATTGTTGTCTCGGTTTTAAAAACGCGTAACATGGCTAATTTAATCTCAGCAGTTCACGTTTTACTCCGTTGGCTTAAGAATTAGAGTGAATAGAGATCAATAGACCTATCATGAAACTTGGTAGTAAGAACATTATCTGTGTTTTGTTGGAAGTATTTTTACGATAATTCAGTTTTTAAATGAGTTATGAGCATTTTTATTTTACGATTTATTATACACGCATAACTCACTTAAAAACTGAATTATCGTAAAAATACTTCCAACAAAACACAGATAATGTTCTTACTATCAAGTTTCATAATAGGTCGATTCACTCTAATATTTTTAAGTTAACGGAGTAAAACGCGAACTGCCGAGTGTAAATTTGTTATGTTACGCGTTTGTAAAACTGAGATAACAAATACGGATGTTACGCCCTCTTAAAACGATAAACTACTAGCCCCAAATTCGATTTATATGTATCAAAATACTTAGAAAAATATTCTGCTTTGGATTATGAAATTATAACTCTATGTTGTCTTTCAAAAAAGTAAAAACTTAAAAAATGATAAGGATAAAAAATATAATTTTTTAATAAAAACGTTGGTTTTTGAACAACTTGAAACCATGTAAAAAAATATTTTGAAAAAAGTCTATACTTTTCGAGATAATTAGTGTATATAAATTTTATCATTACAAGTTTTAATGTCATTAACGACTTAAACTATTATAATATTAGAAAACAAAGTATACTCTAGAAATTTAAGTACTCACGAATAATATTTTTAAATTACAACAATATGACTAAAATTGTTATTCTTGATAATTTAATATGTAATTTCAACAAAATTTGAACATAAAATAACTATATAACTACAAAAAACTGTTTGTTTTTAGTTATTAGATTGTTTTGCCGCATAATTAACTATACATAATTACTAGTTACCTATACTTGTGTTAAAAGTTACCTTGTTTAATAAACAACAACCATCTAATTATCACTCAATGTATTTATTAACAATCACTAACAGCTCGGGTCCTCACACACCGTGCAGACYTCCGCTTACTAGTACCAAGTCGTCGCATAAAACTACTAGTACTACTAAAAGCTAAAACTAACCTACAGTGGGAGAGCACACACACACTGTCATCGGTGACTCCCACCCATGCCCAGATGTTATCATCCGGTCGTCCTGACCTCTCTGTTGTCCTCAACAGCAGAATACATACTGAGGCATTACATTTGGCAACGTTCAACTACAATTACAAGATTCACAATCCTTAACTTACAATTAACAACATTTTAACAATTTTACATAATATTCAACAAATGTCTCAGTCTTAGACAACAAATTACATAATGATTAATAATAGTAAACTTAAAATTTCAATTCAACAAACGTATCAGTCTTAGACAACAAATTACATAA